AGCCCCTGTCCTTGAACTCTCAACTCTAAAGCCTCAACCACAGACCCCCTATCCAAAGGCGTTAAAGGCCAACAATTTCAAAACACTCACCCCCAAACCTTCTCCGGCTTGCCACCCATAGTGGACACGAAGACCTTCACAGTCGCCAAGAACTCAGCACCTCACAGGGTTTAGGGTTCAGGGTTTAGGGTTTGTTTCCGAGGCAACTGCAACTTTTTTGGCGTGTTCCTTAAAGGTTTGGAAGCTACAGCTTGGGAAGGCTTAGAGTTTGGGGCTTGGGATTACATTTTAAGTTACTGGTTAGGGAAATCCCTATATAACCCCTAAAATACTGATTCCCTTATTCCCCACTAAGCCCCAATAAGTTATGGGTTCTGCAAACTTCTGGTGTCAAAGGTGCTCCTGCGACCCATTAATCGGTCCCGGCACCTCCCCACGTGAACACACCCTTGCTCGAATGGTACTACTATGATTACTGTTGTTACTACTGATCTTCCTTTGATTTCTTTTAATATGTTCCATTGTTTTGATGGATTCGTTACTAGTATACTACTTCTATTACTTTTCTTACTTTTCTATTGTTTTATTTGGTATTGTGGAGATTAGGGATCCCCATGCTTCCTTGCAGCTACCAGCTACCAAGGCTCCAGTCAGTAGCTTTTGCCTTCTAGAGCTTGAGTGCTTGTCTTCTTCTGCCTGCACGTCCTCCATCCCCTCCCCATATGAAACCCCCCCAGCCCCTTGGGGTTCAATATGAGGGGGGATTAGATGTCGTTGCACCTACTGCCGCCCCACCTTACTTGTAACCACATGCGTTCCACTTCTTGCATGGCTGCATTCCCTACTAACAGCAGACAAGCCACATCGTCCCAACAGCATCCTAATAACTGTAGACCTACAGAGTCGTAAGCAGATTCCTTTTCAGGCACTTGGTATTACACTAATATAGTATCAAACAGTGTAATATAATATGATATAGTATAATATCGTATAATATAGTCGAATGAACCGATCCAGCTCATACTTTGCAGTGCTTCCGAGCAGTACCCGCAAAGAGGAACTGAGAAGGCAAAGCCCTCTTTCAAGACCCACGAGCAGGTTTTGTCTCAACTCTGTAGATCCAAGCCCTAAACCCTAGGGGAACCCCGCCCCTGAAATAGTGGTGTAATAGGAATATAAGAGAACCCTAGCACATTCCTTCTTATCCCTTACACAGTCACTATTACTGGCGGGGGGTCCACCTAACCTGAACCCTATGTCCTGCAAGCCTCTATGCTATCACGGCAATCAGCACTCTCAGTCTGCTGCCTGATGGCCCGATGACAGAGAATTTCTGCACACTTGGCCACTGCTTCTCCTGGTCCAGCAACTTCGAGGCTTCTGCAAGATATGGATCCCGTCCAAAAATGCTGCGAAGCATACTCAAACAGGATGAAGAACTGGGAAGGCGTGCGTGGCAAAAGATCTATGCATACATGGATGAAGAAGACATGAAAGCATGATACTTAATTCATGGTTCTTTCTTCACTGCAGAGCAGCCTAGACTCCCAGACATTGGCCGGCTGAATCCTCGAACTATAAGTTACCACAGTGTCCACAGTATAAACAACCTATGGGTTTCCTTGCTTCTGTATATCCGTGATACCGGCATGCTGCTAACACTAACCCCTAAACCCCTAAACAGGCAAGCCCCTAAATTGAAGCATCTTTGTTCCTCCCCTGCTTGCTCCTTTGCCAGAGCCACACAGATCTTGCCGTACTCCTCGCAAGGCTCGCTGTGTCTGAGTGCCAAAGACAACGAAGACCCGCTCTCTCAGTTTAGGGTTTAGGGTTTGGGGTTTAGAATTTGGGGTTTAGGACAACAGCAAGCCCATCAATCGCGCATGCAACGACACTGATGAAAGACTTGGACTGCCGACAGAGAGTGTGACTTTCGAAGGATAATTGGTACACGCCTGGGCTATTATGTTGTCCCTTGTACTCCCTCTTTATCCATGGCATCACAGGCACGGTCTCGGACTGTACTGTTGCAATGGAAATGCTCTAACAAAGAAAAAGAAACCGTCCTTTGAAAAGGGGTGCCATATCAGCGAGAAGCCCAACAACAGGATTCCCCTTACAATCCAACTGGAGGTGGATTTCTTGATCAGTCGGTCTCTTGACCAGTCGGCCACTAGAAGTCTTTTACAAGACCCATGGCTCTAGGGCTCTACGGTGGCTGAGGAAGATTATGCACATGACTCTGCATATTCAAGCATGAGGCACCGCCCAAGCAACCTACTCCATGCTATGGCAGACGCATTGCGCTGGAAGGTAGCATGACTACATGATGTAAGTCTCATAAGCCCACACATACCCAAATCAAACTGGGATGTCCTCAACGTCGTCATAACCCCTGCCAGCATCAGGGCCCGCAGCAGCCATCGCACCGCCAGCACCACTTGGGCCAGTCGCATGGCCTAGAAACTAAAACAGACATGCTTTCAAACCCTGAAGTAAAGATGGAGAAGCAGTTCTAATAGCGAGTAATGCTGTTAGAAACCACATCAACTGCAGTCAGCCCCCTTAGTCATGGAATACCCGTGCGCAGCACTAGCTGAGTGCCAGAGATTTACCACAGGCAGATGCCTGTGAGCTATTTGAGGCAGCTCAACTTCCTGCGGGGAGAGCAGCTTCTCTAGGTTGATCTCTGCAAAATGGATCCCAACAAGAGCAGGCAACAAACCAAGAAGACTCTCAACCACTCTTGCCCGACCGCTCACTTGTCAAATCAATGCAATGACGCTTTGCCTCTACCACTGAGCCATGTGAAACCCACGAAGAAACTCCCACAACCATGCGCACACTGTTGAGCTGTTTCTTTGCCTCCTCCCCTGATGCACAAAATGTCCCCGTGCCCAGGCATGCCGCGCCGCCTTGGGGATGGCGACGCTTTCTTAACTCATAGTCCTTCAGCTGTCCCGACAAGCCTCTACGGGCTCCCCTGGTGCCGCATCGAGCCAAGCTTGCATGGCCGCGATTGTCCGTGAGCGCCGCAGCCAGCCGGTCTGGGGGACAATGGGTCCCAGTGACGTACTTTGTGACATTGTGGGGCTGGCGTTGAAAGAGACAATCCCAAGAAAAGGCTCAGAAAATGGGGATGTTCCTCGAGGTGCCGTTTGTTTGGAATGGTTCCTTACGACTATGAGCGTTGTATTGCAGGCTTGTTAAAGAGAATCTTAGCCAAAAGGCATCTGCAAGGATTCATATCCTTCGTCAACCGGAGGCCCCCAGCAAGAGTTTCGCAGGTGGCGCGCGGGTCTTTCCAAATTGGACTCCCCTACAATCCGGCAATTAGCATCGTGTCCTTTGTGAGGGCCCGTGGGTAAGGACCCACACACTGCACTTGCTGTTGGATCAGTTGCCTTAAACCAAGGAACTCAGCATCCGATTCGCACCTAGGGTTTGAACGAGGCAAGTTGTTATTGAAATAAGCCGGTTGACATATTGAAATCCAAATATTATCTCCGCCAATGAATTCAATATATTTTCGGGATCAAATGAGCTCCTGAAATTCCATATCGGATCTCAGGCAAGTTGTTATTGAAATAAGCCGGTTGACATATTGAAATCCAAATATTATCTCCGCCAATGAATTCAATATATTTTCGGGATCAAATGAGCTCCTGAAATTCCATCGGATCTCAGGTTGTTACCCACATATCTACTTGCCATGCGCCTACTCCGCAACGGAGCCATATTCTCCCTCTTCGGTTCTTCCAATTCGTTGGTCATTGTCGTTCGTACAAAAAAACAAAACCCTTGCATTTGTTTCCTACCTAAACCCAAGGCATGTTGAAAGACGAAATGCTCACGATCCAACGGAAACGAGCACTGGACAACAGGAAGTCAACCGCCAAAACCCTAAACCCTAAACCTTAAACCTTAAACCCTAAACCCTAACTTCAAAGGATCAAAACCAAGGCTATCTGGTGCCATGTTGACGTCATCAAGCTGCATACCGTGTGCCTATGATCATGTTGATGTTATTTCTGAAATTCAGCTTGAACCCCTTAAGGATCACCATTGGAAGCTTCCGGAATGAGGATAGGCAGCATATAGGCAGCGACATGGGGCGAGCTTCTGCTTGGGTTTTTGGTCTCTGAAATCAAAATAGATACCTTGTTTGGGCGTGTTACGGCCCCTGGTCTAGTGTTCGTGTCCGTTGGCAATCTAACATGTCTACAACCGAAATGCTCAAGAGTGTGCAAGAAACAAGAAAGCTTTTCCCGCCCAACCCAGCCTGAGAACCCGCTGGCCAATGTGTCGCACGTTGTACTCTCTCTGTAGTCTGCAGCCTGGGATTGGCCAGTGTAAGGCGGGCGCGACAATGTACATAGTGATGGGGAGCATGGGCCCATCACGAAAATCTCCAATGAACCACTTGTGTTGCTTGCATCACTCCGCTGCCTGTCCCTTAGGCAAAAAAAGCCTGACGACTCCTTCCAGTAAAGCTGTCTCACCAAGGTTTCACGTTTCATGGCTAGTCCTCTGCGGGAAAAGAAGTGTTGAGACTATCGGCTACGGCTGCAAAGCATTAGAGCTTCAGAACCAGCCCCCCTAGAAGCATGGTAGCTTCGCTCTGGACTTGACCAGAGCGCCCCGCTGCCCTGGCGAACCCTAAATAAACCCTAAACCCTAAAGGGCAACAACTAAGAGATGTGAACGGATTCTCACAGCCATGCTGACAGTTTGCAGACTTTTTTGGGTCTCATGTAGCATGCTGCCACAGAAAACGGGCCCTTGTCGATGAGTTTCGACTCCGGAGCCTCTCCCCAAACGAAATTTCTGTACACTATCAACTTGAGCGAGGGTGGCTGCGTGAAAATGCCTTCCCGCCACTACAACAAAATCTCTGTACGATTTCGGGCACATGTGTTGGCCGAAGTGAAGATGTATTGATGTATGATGTCTGCTCACGTGGAAAACTTCTATACAAGGCCGAAAAGTGCGAGAGGTACTCAATTCTTCCAGCAGGCATTGCCTTCTGGACCTTCCGGCTCCAGGAAGTTCAGGCTGGGCAGCATGTCTCGAGCCTGCTGGGGCCCCTGGCTGCCAAAGGGATACTTCACGAGCTTTTTGTCGCATGCGTGTCCCTCCAGCTTCTCCAACAGTGGCGTGAAGATCTCCCAAGCTCTCAGCAACTCGTCCTCGCCCACGAACTGGTCCTGGTGGCTGTTTCCATAAACTTGGGATCTTTTCTGTTGGTGTCTTCATATTAAGAGCCCTCTTATTTTGGGTCTAGGGTTTTTTGTGGCCCATGACTTTTTCAAATTCCCAACTGGTCCTGGTGGCCCCTGAGGGCTTCCAGCAGGAGCCGTGCATAGGCTCTCGGCCGGTACGTGCAGCCGTACTGGCTGTTGTAGCACAGATCCAGCTCGCTCTGAGTCAGATCACCAGACAAGCCGGGAGTTTTCATGTTCATCCTCATGTAGATTGCCTCATGTGGAGACACTCTCATGACCAGCTCGTTCCGGGGGCAGGTCTCTCCAGGAAAGATGTCTGGGCTTCGAGTCTCCTTTCATGGGTTCCCAACTACCCCCCCTCTATGCTACCCCCCCACGGTTCCCCCTTAATTAAGCCAAATAAAGGCGAATGAACATACCTGAAATCAAAGAAGCCCCATATGATTCAAGGACTATTCCTAATTGAGGGCTCTTGGAAGCCCTGGGCTTCGAGTCTCCTTGAACTGGATGCGCACCTCACACCTGCTCTCTTCCAAGCCTTTGCCGGCCAGGATGATAAAGGGCACTCCACGCCAGCGGTCGTTGTCGATGCGGATCACCAGCCTCAACAGTTCCTGGAACCCTTGCAACATTTTTTTACATACGTATATGTACATACACACACACATATATATATATAGATATGTACATTTACCCATTTATTTAGCCCCTATAAATACAACTAACATAAATTGACAATCATGTTCAAGAACGGTCTGGCAGCTGCACGAAGGTCGGGCAGCGCTTCGCGGCCTCCTCGTCTCGCTCTGCGATGCTGTCATCCTCCAGGAAGCCCGGATGGTCGTTGCCCGCGACGTACTGCCCCACAACCACCTGGCAGTTTCCATGAATGGTGGGCCCCAAAATGAAACCCAATATACTACCGGCCTTTTTAAGGGCCCCTAATTTTTGGAAACCCCCGCCTCATCCATGTTGATGTCCCGCACGGCACGGAGGAGTTCCAACTTAGCCGCCCGGAGGTCCCCATCGGGCCTCTCGAGGGCCACAAGGGTGAGCACCTGCAACAAATGGTTCTGGACCACGTCGCGGATGTTGCCGTACTTCGTGAAGTAACCTCCGCGGCCCTGGGTTCCGAAGTCCTCCTTCAAACTGATCCGAACAGCGGCCACGTGCCGGTTGTTCATCAGTGGCTCCACGAAAGCATTGCGGAAACGAACTGACAGGATGTTCTGACAAACCTCATAGCCAAGGAAGTGGTCCATCCGGTACAGCTGGTCTTCTGTATACAAGCGCTTCAGCGCCGTGCTAAGCTCCTCTGCAGTGTGTAAATCGCGGCCGAAGGGTTTCTCCAGGATAATTCTGTTGAAGCCCGAGTCTGTCAAACACGTCTCCTTGATCGCAGAAGCGGCGTCCTCGAAAACAAAAGGGGGAACCGCGAAGTAGAACACGCGGTTGCGCAGTGCAGGCTGCTCCAAGGAGTCAGCTTTCCGAGCACTCTGAAAGGCCGCGTCCTCCACCTCTTCTAGGAATTGCTGCAAACCCTTGAAATCCTCCTGGCTCTTGTAGTCCAGAGAGCAATATGACATCTTCTGCAGGAAAGCGTTGACGTCGCCTTCGCAAGCATTTGCCTGGCTTGGACAAGCCTCCAGCAACGCCGGCTTCAACCTTGCTTCAAACTTTTTCATAACGACCAAATGAGGAAGCCAAACGGATGAAAGCGTGAGGAGCTCTCCCATTGGCTTAGAAAGTACCTGGACGCCAAAAGTATGTAACAGAATGGTCAAAAACTTTGAATAATGGCCCGAAATGGCCATTATGTGACATACTCTTGGGGTTCAGGTACTGCTGTCGGAACTCCTCGGAAGTCCGCTTGGACCTTCCCACGCCTACAAGGACAACCTGCTCGGGCAGAAACCGCTGCGCCACGAGGTCCAGCAGTGCTGGGAAGATCTCCTGCAGAAAAGGGAATGGACCGGGAACCCCAACTAAGGAACCCCAAGAATATAGCAGGGAGTTAGTAGGCATGCAATAGTAGGAATATGAGAAGAACAAAAGAACAAAATAGAAATGTAAAGACCCAGGTAAGTAGATTCCTCTTACATTCCTACTATAGTCCTGGGTTCCTTGTTCTGGGGCCCCCATTAGCGTCCCTTTATCCAGGCGGTGGCTTGCTCAGTGGCCCAAGAATCTCGTGCAGGCGAACAGAGGAATGCACGCGCACATCCATGGATGAATACACAATTGGAAAATGCACTGCGTACTCTCAGAAACAAAGAGACACACAAGTACAGCACTATGCAAACAGATGAATCCATAAAAGAAGCCTCATACATAAACAACCTAATTCATGGGAAGATGAACAGTCCAACACATATACAAACAAACACGTCACAAAGTATACAATTGACCAACACGAAACTTGAAAGCATCATGAACAAAACATAACATGCAAGGAAGTGTACATAGATAGACAAATAGACCTGAACGAACGCGCCAACCCATGAATGACGGCACGACCCAACAAATGGATGAACCTCTGGGGCCACATCGGGATCCCCAACGCATCTGGCGCTCCTGTGCACGGCCGGCTAGCCGACTCCAACCATGCCCAGCCCTGCCCACTGACCCTACCCCGCCTTTCTGGCCAGATCTCCCGTGGCACCCAGGATTACGATGGAAAGCTTTCCCTGACGGAAGGCCTCCTGGTCGAAGCCCAACTCATGCGCTGAGGGAACGTAGAGCTGGCAGCTTTTCTCGCTCTCGCTTCCTGCATTGCACGTTGCTGTGGAGGCCCCTTTAGCGGCTGTAGCACCTGCCATGATAGCTCTTCTTGAAAGCTGGAGGCTTGCGGCTGCTGCTGTTGCTGCTGCTGCTGGCAGCAGAGAGGCAATCGGCGTCCAGCGCTGTCGTCTTGGCCGGGCGCGGGCGCTGTGGATACGCTGGATGTGCTGTGGCAGCAATGAGACTGGCACCTTTATCGAGGGTTGGATCATAGTCACCTGGAGCCGAAAACCTAGAGCTGCTCTGCTGCATCTGCCTAAGCATAGGCAGGGACTCTGGGATAGACTGCAGGTGAGCATGTGCACATCCGTCGATGAACACACCATTGAAGAAGCCCAACATACTCTCTTCTGCAGAGGTATCAAGACCCGCCTGAGCCTGCCTACATTTCAAGGCCTGTCGGCAGACTGACTTCCACTGTGATTACCATTTTGATGGCATGGATGACGCTGGACTGTGATCGCTTCAAAACTCAAGTAGTTGGCTCAACCCGAAACCATATCGACCCGAAACCACATTTTTTGAGCTGCTGTCCAAAGCCCTCGCCCCTGCATCATCATCCTTGCATAGATAAGTCATAATTATGGGGCAAGACAGCACGCTTATGTGCTATTCTGAATGATTTGAGACGTCAAGCATTTTGGCGACGGATATTGTAAAAGACGATCAGCTTGCTGAGGCCCAAGTGGCCCGCACATGCGAGGGCCTCGTGGGAGATATCCTCCTGACGTGGCAGGATGGCAAGATGAAGAGGTGCCTTCAGCATCAAAACCTTACCACAATGACCCTTCATACTGCAGATCTACTAGAGATTTGTCTGCTCTGTCAGTTGAGGATCTGATGCTCCTGCAGGCAACCATCTTCCGCAATGGTGCAAGTGTAGTGGTCGATCAGTGCCTGAGCATCAGGCCGCCAGCACATTCAAAAAGCAAATGCACAATTAGGCGTACTCATCATGATTGCCACCCCAGAGCGAAGAAGGAACACAAACATACACACACAAGAGCCATGACGCCACACATGACGATGACTACAAATGGGGCAAAGGCAGCACATTCTCTTAAACCCTCAACCCCAAGGCCTGGGCTCATAGACCTCGAAGACCACACAACCCATCAGGGCATCGTCTGTGAACCTGGCAAGCACTGGGTCGACATGCCTTTCAAGGGCTGACTTGCAATGGGAAAGCCACTGGGCCTCCTAGTAGCAACAAGCTGCACAAAGCACCAGTTCGGCCTTAACGTTCGGACGAGAAGTGGAGTGAGACTTCCGCAATGAAAAAGACGGGAAAGCCAAACTCTTCGAGGATGGACCTCAAGCCGCGCGTCCATGCTGCCAACACACGGACTTGGGGCAAACAACTCAGGATTTGTCCCCTCCTTGGACCATGCCTTGTCTCCACAAAATCCTGCTTGCCGGTTTTCATGCCTGCCCTGCCTGGTTTACATTCCTCCTTGAAGGAGCAAATCTAGAGGATCTACGTGGAGGTGCCAGGGGTATTTAGGGGTCCGGGGTGCTTACTCAAATGCAAACACTCAACTTGACGTTGACGTGGCAGATGTCCGGCACTTTCTTGATAAGGGGTGGTCTTTCCATGTCTTTAGGAGCACCGACCCGCTGGATCCAGGGCGAGGCTGCGAACACTAGCCAAAACTGATAGCATTCTCACCGGAATCCGAGGGATCATGGCTAGCTATTGACGAGAGTGTGAGCACTAAAGCCCACATACTCCATCTGAGGAGAATCTCGACAGCTCTCCTGACGGCCGTTCGACACTTGCACGAACACCAGGATGTCAGCTGCGGAGCTTTAACAGTCCGATGTGTCTTATTCACAAGTTCCCTGAACATGCATGTGTGATGATGCGCGCCTCTCTGCCGCCAGGCTGCTCGCTACTGCTGGCTGGTTGTCATTCGGGACATACATCCCCTCTTGGGAGCAGCTGGACTTCCTGCCAATGTTGAGCAGTCCGACACTGTCCACTGCTGCAGCATCACCACGCGCCAGTGACGACTGCGCGATCTTTGCTGAGGCTTAGCAAGCAATGCCACTGCAACGCCAAACAGAAGGCTGAATTTCAACAAAATCAACAACACCCTGTGGCCTTAATGACATACTCCACCTGAGGTACTTCCATGGTGTGCCGCTTCACAGACACCTGCCAGCACTAATGGCATGGCATGGCATGCGCCTGACGGAGACACTGCATCAGCCATGATACGCCATGCTGTAGGGCTGCTAGAAAATTACAAGATTAGATGGGGAGTGCTGAGCTCGCGTTTGGGTGGCATTAGGTCTGTTGCCTGAGGCACTTGTCAGCGCTTCCGACATGGTACCTCAAAATATGTTCCAGCAGAATGAAGTGAGGCATCCCATAAAAACGGGCAACAAGTTTCGATCACTTCCGACATGTTGGGATCCACAGGCCTCGATCTCCTGGTCAAGGTATTCCGCCTGCGGCACCTCTATATGCTTCAGGATGGTGATTTGTGGCACAATCACCCGCTTCTGGACAGGCACCTCACAACAGGACCGAAAGATGCATGCAGGCGATTTCAAATTCCGGTGTCTCCACCACATGGTCCACTCCATCTGAGGGCCTTCTGGACTACTTCATTAAAGCACGCAGCCCTGCTGGAATCTTCTTCGGGTAAGTGAAATACCTGTGCGCAGCATCGGCTGAGTGCCAGATACTTACCACGGGCAGATGCCCGTGAGCTATTCGAGGGAACTCAACTTCCTGCGGGGGAGGAGCTTCTCCAGATGGATCTCTGCAAAATGGACCCCAACAAGAGCAGGCAACAAACCAAAAAGACTCTCAATCACTCTTGCCTGACCGCTCACATGTCAAATCAGTGCAATGACGCTTTGCGTGTACCACTGAGCCATGTGAAGCCCACGAAAAGATTCACAAAACCATGCGCACATTGTTGAGCTGTTTCTTTGCCTCGTCGCCTGATGTGCAAAATGCCCGTGTGCCCAGGCATGCCACGCCGCCTTGAGGATGACGACGCCCTGTTTATCGATCAACGGCTCCCTCCACCGCCCGACTTGTTGTGCACGTTGGTGGACTTCGGCACCTCCATGATCTGCACCGGCTTCTGAACCGCCTGCAAGCGCGAAGGAACAGCATTGAAAGCAACATCTTTGACTGCGCGTGTGTCTGGATGCACCACACAGACACGTGCTTGCGAGTTGCAGTGACCCCTACAGGAAAGGCGTCCATACTGTCGGGAAGCTTCCACAATTACGGGACGCTACGTACTTGAACTGAAAAGGCTGTCGGAATTCCACTCAACAGAATCCGAATTTTAGCCTAAACCCACTAAAGCCTAAACCCTAACCCACAACCTCCAAGGCTCCCAATTTGTCCAAGTGTCCTGGGGAATGAAGACGGGCCCAATCGCGTGGCCAGTCTTGGGCCCTTCCTTGTAAGGCACACGGCCCAAAAATACCTTGGCAACTTCGCTTCATGTAATGTTACAGTCTCTGACTGGTAGCTCCATAGCCCACATATTCCGAAAATATAACACATGAAAAACATTTTCTCAATTCCGCAATGGGTCCATGTCTGTTGAGCCCCCATTCAGGTGGTGCCACCATGACAAAAATGAGAGGTGCTTGCACCACTCGACAAGCGGGCGCAGCCATCTGCATCCGGCTTGGCACCGGGGCCTTGCCAAAAGGACTTCCGGTTGCAAGGTACCATCATGCTGAAGCATCATAGGCGCATCATGCGAAGGAACGTGTGACCTGTGGGCCTCCTGTAACTCATAGTCCTTCAGCTGTCCCGACAAGCCTCTACGGGCTCCCCTGGTGCCGCATCCAACAAAGCTTGCATGGCCGCGATTGTGGCTGGAATAGCCGTGAGCGCCGCAGCCAGCCGGTCTGGGGGACAATGGGTCCCAGTTGCGTACTTTGTGACATTGTGGGGCTGGCGTTGAAAGAGACAATCCCAAGAAAAGGCTCAGAAAATGGGGATGTTCCTCGAGGTGCTGTTTGTTTGGAATGGTTCCTTACGACTATGAGCGCTGTGTTGCAGGTTTGTTTAAGAGAATCTTAGCCAAAAGGCATCTGCAAGGATCCATATCCTTCATCAACCAGAGGCGCCCATCAAGAGTTTCGCAGGTGGCGCGCGGGTCTTTCCAAATTGGGCTCCCCTACAATCCCGCAATTAGCATCGTGTCCTTTGTGAGGGCCCGTGGGTAAGGACACACGCACTGCACTTGCTGTTACGAGCAGTTGCCTTAAACCAATGAACTCTGCATCCGATTCGCTACCTAGAGGTTGAACGAGGCACTTTGAAACATGAATCTAAGTGCGAAATCTTCAACTTTGGCATTCGCTTTGCTGAGCCCCCTTCTGGCAAAGCCAATGTGAGGTTGCGCAGATGGGTTCTCGGCTTCAAGGTGTCATGACAAGTAAGTCCTACGACTCTTACAACACCGAGTTTCTAGGCCTCTGTTAGCTTTCGGGTTCACAGTTGCGTGCTTTCAGCTACTTTCTCTCGCGAGCCTGGCAGGAGCTAGCTGCAGCATCCCCAGAGCAGGCTGGTGAGGAGGCCACAGAAAGTTGCCTGAGACATGTGTGCGACATGTGTGCGACATGGCTTCTGTAAGTCTGTTGAAAGGCGAGCTGCTCTCGAATTTTGCCACTAAACATGCCCATATTATCCTTTACTGCAAACGCACAAATCACCCCACAGATCACGCCTTCCGAAACCCACGGGCATTCCAACTGCTAAAAGTTGTGACACTGTGAAGCTTACAACGTCCAAATGGCAAGGGATCTTGTATAGAAAGCTGTAGGGGGAAGAAGAACTGGCAAGCTTTCAAGACATTTTGTTTCGCTTGAAGTAGCGGGAAGATGCAGAAGCAAATGCTGAGCAGGCAAACATTGAATAGGTCCAGCGCCCACACAAGACGGTAAACTTCGCGCAATCCCGAGCCCCGAACAAAACTTGAAATTCGGAAGGATCTCCTTCGCACGGATCAGGGTTTTTCTACAGGTTCTCATGTCATCATGTAATCGCAACTTT